GCGGCTGCACTGATTTCTGTCTGGTGGGGCTTCATTTTTATTGACGCCGTCAAAACTGGGGTGGGTCTGTTTGGCGTCGGGGGTTCTTCGATAATTCTAAATACGTATCCACCCTTCTTATTTCTGGTTAGGGATTTTCCACTCCTTTCCATTTTTTGGTAACTCCTTTCTCACTCCCACTCTCACACTGTGCTTCTGAGGGGCGTGCACTAACTTCCCCACTTCTTCGTATCGGCTTCTCCCACTTACACTCTGATAGAGGCGTCGACTGATTTTCTTCGTGCGTCACGTGACCGCTCTCGGCCAATGAGGTCCTGGTCGGGTATCTTTCCTCCTCCTTCGTGCGTCATGTGATCCACTTGGCCAATGACGTCTTCGTCGGGTATTTTTCCTCCTCCTTCGTGCGTCATGTGGTCCGCTTGGCCAATGACGTCCTAGTCGGGTGTGAATAACTCGTGGCTTTGTTTTGGGAAAGAAATACCTTGCTTAACAAAAAAAACTAATTAAATCGCCCTTATCATGAGCGGCCGATGTGACACTCTCGGCTTTAACACGTGGCGTTCGTCAAGCAGTTTATCGCTAATTGGATATGATCTAAGAAAGAAATTTTCCTAGCCTACCTGGCGTTTCTAAAGCAAAAATAAATACATTTCATTTTCCTTTCGGCTCAAGGGTTGACAACAAAAAATCTTTATTATCACAGGGCAAGCGTTTATTCTCTCTCTCAAAAAAAAAAAAAAAACTTAACCAGCGAAAACTACTTGTGTGGGAATTTTTTTCTTTTTTTTCAATTCTTTACACCAAAGGAAGACCGTCTGTGTTTCGTCAATGTTCAACAATGGATTTCTTGTTTTTGGTGACATCCAATGATAACAAAATTCCATTTTTCGTGGACAAGCGGAAATCGGTCAGCGCTTGTTCGTAGGTGACCTAGATATTTTCGACATCTGATATCTATCAACAATAAACTTCTTCCTCCTCATTTCCGTCTCTTAAGCCGTGTGTGTGTGTGTTCGCCTATGACCCGTCTGGTATTACTTTTTCTTTCTTTCTTCTTCGTTTTCTCTTTCTTTCTCCCAAATCGCTTGAATGCAAAGAAGGAATTATTCTTAAAACCTAAAATATTTTTCGGCCTTAAATAATTATCAAATGGTTGATAAACCGTAAAAAAGCAAATCATATATCTATAAATATTTCTTTCAAATCGTCAGGATGCATGGTGCCACAAGCGAATTGTTTGTGTATGTGTAGTTTGTTGTAGGAGAAAGCCGTAGAAAAAATGAAGTGAAAGATGCGTACGTACGTGTGCGTTCGTGTGTGTATTGTTCATGCGTTCTCCAAAAGAGAACGCGTTCTTCCGTGAGAGACTTACATGTTGACGTGTAAGCAGAAAAAGTGAGAAAAAGAGGGCTGGAAAAGATATCGCCGAGTATTTAAAGTCCGGAAAGCGTCCCCTAACAGCGATTTCGAAAATTAGGAGGAGGTAACCCGACACTGATTTCCAACGCAAGCATACATTTTCTGCTTGTGAACTATTCGTGGAATATAAGGTTGCAGCAATACCACACTAGGTGATGTTGGTTTGGTTTCAGTAAAAAGGACTTTTATGGAGTGCAGTTGCTTGCTCCATGCCCAACTGGGTTGAATTCAGAGTTCTCGTTTTCCTTGATTGGTTGCAAAACAATGCTAGAGAGAAAAATCTACCCTATTATTTTACCCGTAGCTGGGATTTGGGAACAGAATATTTTATTCGGCTCACATCATTTTGTTTTGAACTGTACATTTTTTACTGTTGCTTACGAAGTACAGGACACAAGAGTCACTCAAGTTAGAGGGTTGGGGATGTTGTATATAGATAACCGTTAACTCTAGATCGTGCTGATCGGGGAACATCCTCTTGGAAGTCTGTTCTACAAGGTAGCGTTTCTCTAGAACAGTGTTTCTCAACTTTTTTAAGCAACGGCACACCTAGGAACAATGAAAATATCACGGCACAGAACATAATTTTTTAAAGAGTATATATTTAAATGTTATGAAATAAAACCATAGATTTAAAAAAATACACACACAAATATTAGCTTACTTAATTTCAATGTTTCTGTTCAACTATTTGTGCAGCTTATTTAGTGTGAAACCATTACTACTTCTACACACACACACATATATGTGTGTGTGTCGTGACAATATTTTGCGACACACTTAAGAGGATGTGCCACGGAGATTGATAATCACTGCTCTAGAAGATGCTGAGTAGAACTTCTTTCTTACTAATGCAATATGAAAGGAATGAGGGTGATTCGATTTTGTTTATGTGACATGGCGTGTCCTAACTGTAAAAGTAGGAACTGGTGGAACTAAATAATGTACCTCGTCTGAACATTTGTGATAGAAATAGCGATAGAGTTGTGATAGGCTTGCTACGTCTCGTCTATAGAAAAAAGTTTGGATAGTAAAAGAATAATTTATCACATACGAGGCTACGTAAACGATATTGAAGGTCTTTGAGGCCGGAAAGTGAGGATTGAACAGCTCCAGCCAAGATATGGCAGCAATAATCCATTTTTGGTTTGCTCTAACTCTTGTAAAGACATAGTATGGTAGGAGAAGTCAGGTAATTTCTAGAGTGGCACAAAGAACCGACTATTTTTCCAGCATTTAGCGATGGATCGTATATGCAAAATCCACTTAAGGTCTTATGTCCCAATAGCCATTCAAGGCTATGAACCACCTTGGTTAGAGTAGTTAGTTACCTTCTTGAGTGGCACAAAGAACTGGCCATTTTTCCAGCATCTTTAGCGATGGATCGTATATGCAAAATCCACTTAAGGTCTTATGTCCCAATAGCCATTCAAAGCTATGAACCACCTTGGTTAGAGTAGTTAGTTACCTTCTTGAGTGGCACAAAGAACTGGCCATTTTTCCAGCATCTTTAGCGATGGATCGTATATGCAAAATCCACTTAAGGTCTTATGTCCCAATAGCCATTCAAGGCTATGAACCACCTTTTGGCTAGAGTAGTTAGTTACCTTCTTGAGTGGCACAAAGAACTGGCCATTTTTCCAGCATCTTTAGCGATGGATCGTATATGCAAAATCCACTTAAGGTCTTATGTCCCAATAGCCATTCAAGGCTATGAACCACCTTGGTTAGAGTAGTTAGTTACCTTCTTGAGTGGCACAAAGAACTGGCCATTTTTCCAGCATCTTTAGCGATGGATCGTATATGCAAAATCCACTTAAGGTCTTATGTCCCAATAGCCATTCAAGGCTATGAACCACCTTGGTTAGAGTAGTTAGTTCCACTTGAGGTCTGGGTTGAGTTTAAATCTCAATAGACGTTCAAGAGAAGGGACTTTATTAAGAGTACAACCGTTCATCATGATAGGATTTATTTGTTTGTTTAACAGCATATCAATTTCTTTATGGGTCATTTAATGCTGGAATTTAATTTTCTTGTGAGCTTTGAAGTAATAAAAACAATATACGTTATTCTGCTTTCACAGTTGAATACATGGCAAATGATACTCCGCTTTTGTGCATATACATGTTTGTGTGGACATAATTACTAGAGGTGGTGATATGTGTGTTTTATGTTGTAGTTTTGTTGAGGTTATATTTTGGAATAAAGATTGATTTCTTTAAGAAATTGTAGGATATTATATGGATTAATGTCATGAAATAGTTCTTTCCTGATGGTTAGTTGATTTTTAGCGACATATCAACACCTCTATGGGTCATTTAATACCGAAATATTAATATTTTGAACACAATTTTTTAAGCTCCAACTTAACATATTTTGAACACAATTGTATGCCTTCAACTACAGATAAAATATATTGTTGGTCATTTTTCTATAAATAAGCATTGTTAGTCGTTTTTTTTTATATAAAAATGTATTGCTGGTATTTTTACTATAAAAATATATTTTTTATATTTTCATAGTGTTTTTTGGGGTTGGGGGTTCATTATTTGCGCATAGCTGAGACCCTAACAGATGCTACCGCCACGGGTCAGGGTAGACTTGGGAACAACAGCAATTACGAGGTGATTCCACGCACCGCAAAACCGCCAATCTCCCGATCGTCGGCCTTGTTGCCGGACGTAGTTTATCGTCAAACCCAGGACTAATTATGACAAGAGTCACGTTACGAGTTTGGTTTTGGTGATATTGAATGCTACAGGTTAGTAAATATCAAAGACAAATCATGATAGACAATAAATGCTGTTAGTGGAACATTGGAGAAGCACAACAATCTTTTGTGCTTGCAGAAATGATTTGATCTAGAGAGTGAATTAAATAATGCATCATCGACATTATTATTCAGAATTTTGCAATAAATAACAAAGGCAAGTAAACAGAGAACACAAACAGTTTTACTTTTGATTGGAAACATGTCAGTGAGTGATGTAATCTGCACGCTAAGGAACACTGATTGAATACATAAAGATTACTGGATCTGTTTATCAATATTTCGTCATAGACTATCCTGCAATTCAGTGCACCACCTGCTGGTCGACTGGATCTTTAGAAAACAGACTAGACCAGTTTTCAAACGGGGATTGAGATTAATTTGTTCAGACATTAACGTGGCAGACGATACCATTTGGTTGTAGAAATCAGTTAAATTCCAACTAATACCAGAAACAGTAAAATAATCTGAAAACAAAATAAAAACTTGCAGCTTTGGATTATTTTTATAAGAAGTTGATCAAAAAGTATCGAGATTGTTGCTATTGTAACGGAGTTAAAGTACACAGAGCGAAGTCGCTTGGCCAAAATTGACATTGAACTCTTTCGGGCATTATAACGTTGTCGCTCACTTTCGTTGTTTGCAGTAGTGCTTGGAAGGCAAGTGTGTAGAGTGTGGGCGTCTCATCATACCACAGAGGTTTTGATCATCTTATGTGCAGCAGATATGCAGCGGTTATTTTTTTATGATCCACCAAAAATACGTCAGATGTGAATTCTTCCCCACTAAAAACTGACTATGCTTTGCCGGCTTACGACCACATCACGTTGAAACACCGGCTCCCGTACGCTCACCGAAGTTGAGCAGCGTTGAGTCTGGCCAGTACCTAGATGGGTGACCGCTTGGGAATACCAGGTGCAGTAAGTTTTGATGTGCGAGTGCATTGGCATACAGCGACGTCACGTGGAAACACTTGTTCTCGTACGATCACCGAAGTTAAGCAACGTCGAGCCTGGTCAGTACCTAGATGCGTGATCGCTTGGGAATGCTAGGTGCTGTAAGCGTAGATGGTGTAATGGATAATGGCTCAGAATTGTTAATCGGAGAGCCGAGTTCCAATTCCCGTTGGGTTCGTTATACTCACGCTCAAAAACCTTTGGAGATGTATGAATCCACCTCCACCAGCTATGGGTTAATTAGTACGACTTATATCATTAAACCATTATTATCTCAAAAACATTCTTACAATCTAAAAATATTTTATGGCTTTAAATAACCTGCAAAGGGTTGATAAACCGCAAAAAACGAATCAATCAATCAAGTACTGATTAGTGATTAGCTACATCGGCATGTCTTTTAGATTTATTCCCTGAAATATAAATTATAGAAACTACCGTGGCCATAAAGTCAGTGATCAGTTTACATATTGACTGTAAAGTAGAATTGAACCCCCAATTTATATTTACATTATATTTTGTTTGTTTATAAAATTCTGATTAGGTATAAATTCACCTCTTCTCCCCATTATATGGGTTAATTAGTTAGACTTGTATCAGTAAATCGTTATTATCTGAAAGATTTTACAGTCTAAAAATATTTTCTGCAAAGTGTTGATAAGTAGTAGAAAATGAATCACTCAAACAATATGCTTTGCCATTGTTGGAAATATTTCCTTCCCAATGATACAGCGGGTTAGACCAACAATAGAACCAAAAGAAACAATTGTATGTATAAAGAAGAAAATTGATTTACCCATTAATGCTGACCGTAAAATCTGATATTAATTATAACAAATTAAGAAAAGAATCTGGTATTAATTATAAAAAATTAAGAAAAAATCTGGTATTAATTATAGGCTTCTAATAATCTGATATTAATTAAAGGTTTCTACCTAAAACCCATGAATGTTCACTACCATTTTCGTGACTGAGCGAATTAATGGATTAGATAGGTTTAGTTTGGTTTGTTTTACGGTATATCAACCTCAATGGGTTAATATTTAATGCCGACAAGATTTTTATTGCTGGTAATATTTTTTTTCAAAAAATATTTTTGGTAATATTTTTTCAAAAAATGTATTTTTGGTAATATTTTAAAAAAAATATTTTTGTTAATATTTTTAAAAAAATATTTTTGTTAATATTTTTAAAAAAATATTTTTGGTAATATTTTTTCCAAAAAAGTATTGCTGGTAATAATGTATTGCTGGTAATAATTTTTCCTTCAAAAATTTATTGCTGATAATAATTTTTTACAAAAATGTTTTGCTGGTATTAAAATCTATTTTTACACGTTTTGACACCAGTTTGGGGGTCAATCACCTGCCCACAGCTGGGACCCCAACAGGTGTCACCATCCCGAGTCAGGGCGGATCTGGGAACACCAGCAACCAAGAAGCGGTCCCGTGTTCCTCAAAACCTCCCGACCAGAGGCCCCGGATGCAGTTCATTGTTTAACCCAGGATACAGATGTAGTTTATCGTCATACATAGGACGGAGATAGGTTTAAAGAGATCTGTTGCTTATAACTGAGATTAACTGCCTAGTGTCCGTGAGACGTGGATGTTTTCACTCGGTGTTTGTTTCCTTATTTTCGTAAAGTAATGATACCTGTGTTCCTAGAAATGTTTGCTGTAAAAACGGAGCTGCTCTCTATTGATCGTCTGACATAACCTTTTCTGCACGGCTGATGCTAACCTCCAGGCGAGTGACTCGCTGCACTTTCTCGGGCTGACGTTTTCCGCTGACATGAACTAGAAAGATTGTATTGCGTCAATTGCTAGGTGTGCTGTTAGGAAAGTTGGTTCACTGTGTCATGCTAGAGAATTTTTATCGCCTGAATCTCTCCTACATAGTTATAATTCACCTATGTTTTCAATATTGCTGCCACATATAGCTCGGAGCTCCTGCTATATATTTAGATATCCTTGCGAAAATCCAAAGATGAATCTGAAAAAGTAATCGGTCTGGTATCTTGGCTAAGGTAGTTTCCCTGTGTCTTTTCTATAAATATTTTCACAGTAATTGTTCTGGTGAGCTTTCTATGGTATTTCACAAATTTAAGCGCAGTACTAGATTGGCAGCTAGGTCTCATTATTTCACCGTTGAAATTGGTAGATATACCGTAAATTTAATGCTAATAGTTTCTTCGCCCGCTCTTTCCGCTTGGGAAGTTTTCTTTTCTTGTCAAGTACGATCTTAAAAATATTTAAATGCAATAAAATTAGATTAACAGGTGATCTCACCTGTAATCTGTGTTCTTGAATTCCTTTCTTTTAAAGTCTTCTTCCACTCTTTAAACATTTGCGTCGTAGTGGCTTGCATCGCATTGTTTGGGGTGAGATGATTACTCCATCAGGGTATATATTGCCTAGACACACCACTGCTGCACATGGTGCCCCTTCGACCTTAATGGGTTACTGAACTCGTGACGTGACAAATAGGCTGTTTTTTTTTTAACTAGTTATGTAGTGAACAAAACAAGATCTAGATATAAAATTCAAATGCTAAGCACTGACTCATTGATTTTGTTAGAAAATTAAAAAGACTCGAATTTACAAACTTTGCTTAACACACACGCAAAAGCAAATCTAAAACAAAACTGGTAAAATTTCACACCTTGATGTGAAATGTTTTTCGGCCAATAGAAGACTAGGAAACATTTAAAAACAAAATTCAAATAATCTTCAATTCTCAAGCAAATTCCTTCATGGGCTTTTTCGAGAGCCGACGCAAAGTTTGTTCATCGTCCAATGGAAAGGCCCGAATCATATCCGGGAGTGAATTCCCAAATGATTTTTTCAAGCCCCACAAACAAAATAAAAGACTGGCAAGTTCGCCTGTCACCAGAGAGGAGAAGACGAGCGTATTAATACGTCCCTTGACAACGTCAAGCGAGCGTTATTATTATCTCTACCTTTCTCCCTCACCTCTTTTATACTTGATAAATGAACGGAACATTTTAAGAGTGAGCGATTACTTCAAAGACATTCCTACCCTTTGATAACGCTCATACATACATACATCCACACATAAGTTCCTGCTTACGTACACATAAACTCATTCTTGCAAGGACTACTACGAACATTTTGACGACCCCGTATCAACCAAAATACATTAATTTTATTTGTAAAAACCTTAATTGATTTATATATGTATATAAATTTGTTTTTCACTTTACAATTTGATTTTCTTGTTTTATAACCCTCTTATGGTGGACTATCTAACTAACAAGACCAAATCAAACTAACCTGTTTCCACACATACACTTCACTAACTGACAATCCACTATAATTACAATAAGTTGGCATCCATCTAGCGAAAATAATATACTTTCAAAATTTACTTCATTTACATATTTATTTTATTTTTCGTGTTATAGATCAATTCAATCAAATTGAAAAAGAAATACCCCGTCTTGGATATTTTAACAAGGGACATGATGACGAGACATTAGTTGCCATCTTCCAGGCTATTCAATTGTTAATGCTTTTCTGAAATGCTTGCATTCACCTTTCACAATTCTAGAGCAGGTAGCGTTCAAAACATTAAACAATTTAAAGCGACCAGTGTCAGTAGGACACTCACTTGGGTGATAATTTATGCAAGCACTTATTCTAGCATTTAACATTTTCACGTTACACTGAATTCTTTTTATCATTTATACAATTATTTGTAATTTATCAGTCATTATTTCCATTTTGAAGTTGTGAATTAATTAGAAAAATGGGTTGTGTTTTATGGGAGATAACCTGTATTAAGAAAGAAATCTTTTTTGGCAACCTTTAACTTTCGTGCCTACCAAAAAAACAGCGTGTCAAAAGGGCAATGATTAGAATTGTAATAAAACTTGAACACATGAAAGTAAATTTATACATTTTTTTTTTGTTCCTGACAACTTACAACTTAAACATTATTTATTTATTCTATGGCTATTGTTATAACATTCTCTTACTTATAAGGGTTTCCAATAACTTGGAACGATTTTAAATGTGAATTAAATTTAAGCGTCTAATGATTTGTTTCTTTGATTTGGTGGACATTTGGGCGATATTATTTTTCACACATAATTGCCATAACTTAAATAACATGATCCAATAGAGAAATAAATAAATTTTAACCAATAACACTGATTTATTTACTGATGACTTTGATCCGTCTTAATGAAACACCCTTTAAAACGTACTTCGCCATGACGCCTGTAGTCTGAAAACTGACTTCGATTGGGCAGGTTTTTACTCGGTCTCTCTACTGTAGACAACATGTGACATGTCGAGTTTAACGTGGGGAATCCTAGCGCCTACACTTGGGCCAGAGGTCAAAATTTACCCAGCCCCTGTAGCCGCAAGATCAGGCAGTTTGTATTGTCTATGCTTCTCAGCCGAGTTTCCATACCTGAAAAATAAATAAAAATATCTGCAAACTTGCTTACCTTTTACTTTTTATATAGCTTATTTAAAATAAGTTTAAATGTTACCAGTTGAAATATTTCAAAATGGTTTCTAAAGAAATGTTAAGAAAGAAAGGAAAGATTTTGATCATAAACTTAAATAAATATATATATATATATATATATATATATATATATATATATATATATATATATATATTATAACACCTCTATTCTATGGCTATTGTTATAACACGCTCTTATTTATATAACGTACGTCGCCGTGACGCCTGTATAGTTAGTCTGAAAAGTGACTCCAATCGGCTAGGTATTTAACCAGTCTTCCCACTGTAGACGAGATGTGACATAAGGTCGAGTTAAACGTACACTTGAGTCACAGGTTAAAATTTACTCAGCTTTCTGGCAAATTTTCGCTGATTATATTGCTGCTACTTCATAGTTTCACGCTAATCTTATTTTCATCATCTGCGGCCCACCGCTCATATCTCTTTGAATAACTTAATTTTGACTTTAAA